CCAAGTGTGGGTGTCAGGAAAGGCGGTCATCCGAGTCTACACACAGACACAATATAGCACGTGTGGGTGCCACGAAAAGGCACACAAGCTAACCCACGCCTGAATTGTTTAACTTATAAAAAGGAAATCCAAATCTAAATCTATTCCTAAATTATAAATGGGAGCTAGGTCCAATTCGAATTATAAATTTTATAATTTATAGAAAGGAAATCTTCTGCCGGGGTTGTTGGAAAACATGAAAGTGGTTTTTTCTGCATTTATATTCGAAGTCGAATTAGGCAGCTATTCCACTGATGATTGTGACTGAGCGAAGAAAAAGTGAACTTCATCAGTAGTGTCAAACTTGAAACTTGAATGCAGTTGAAAATAGAAAATTTCAACTCTTTCAACTCATAGCGATATGTGTGTGAGTCACGATTCTTCAAAATGCTATTGGCTTAAAAGTTGAAAATTGAAAATTTCAATTTTCAATTGAATTCAAGTTTCAATTGAATTCAAGTTTCAAGTTTGACATATATGAACTTCGTGGGACTTGAGAACCCACATCTTCCGCTATGCGGGCAGATGTCCTAACCAGTTAGACTAGAAGAACATCTTAATCTTCGTTTAGCGTTAGTTAGTTACATCACTAACGGTAACAGGTTAAGACATGTTTGTACGAGTTCGAAAAAAGGCTTATTCGAACGTTTATATGTCTGATTGGAAAAATAGCATATTTTTCTCTTAGATTCATGTTGCATCACCATAAATATCGTAGGATGATCAGTTTTTTCAAGATGCCAAGAAAAATTGCTGCTATTTTTCAATGAAGTTAAAAATCTGGACAGTGAACCAGATTAGAATAGAAAACATTTGATTACAGATCAAAACGTCTAAATGAATTAATCTCACGTCAGTGGCTTATGAATCTATATACATATAATTTGTCTTGATCAAGCAACTAGTAGTACAATACTTGTCTGATATACAAGAACATATACAGAAAAAGGATTCATTTAATCACCGACTGTTAATTTACCTTTCTATTATTTAAGAAAAAAAATTAACATTACGAAAGTTTTAATTCAAAACAAACGAAAATAGAAAATAATTTCGATATTTTTCACAGAGGAGAAAAATAGTTTAAAAATGCTAAGAAGAATAAGCTTGTCCTAAGGAGATACACCTGAAAAAAAACTGAAATTAAATTCTACTCTTAATCTCATCGCATTATTCACGAGACAGATCTATCAGTATTTGATACTTATTTACTAATGAAATAGATTTTGTTGTTGAATTTAACTTTAACTTGTTTTAAGTCAAGAGTGCTTTCTTTTAAAAAACTTTCTGTCATGAAAAATTTTACTTTGTATTTTCATTATAAATGATTTATTTTACGAATGTTTTTGAATTATAATATGATAACACTCTTATGTTAAAAAGAATCCAAAAAACTTATTTTGTACAATAAATAAATGAAGAAATGTTCAATCATGGTAAAACCAAAAGAGTAATTATAATCGTATAAATCTTTTGAAGAAACCTTATAGTTAGTAGAAGATATTGAATGATCTATCGTTATTATTCGAAGAAAAATTAGTACTAAGTATATTTCATTGAATCTCTAATGTTTACGCATCTGTTACAAGTTGATGCAAATCAAAATAAGTATTCGGTATTTCATTAATCACCTAAGATTGAGATGTCATAGAGAAAATGTATACTCCTGAATAGACTTGATCCTATCGGGATAATGTGAACTTTTCTTAGAAGAATATATTTAAACTAAATGTGAGGGATATTAATTATTGTATCAGCAACATAACAAATTTTTATACCACCGAAAATTTTGAACTGTACTACATATCGATTTAAAAATAATTAAAACACAGCATCATCAGCTAATGTTTTTTTTCTAAATCAACCATTTTTACAGTAAATTAAATTTCATAATAAAATGTATCGATACTTTCTTTACTCAATAAGTTACTTCAATTATCTCGAGCAATAGCCAATTTAATCAGTTGTATGTGTAATTTTCGAGAGTTAAGAATGCCGAATGAGTCGAAGACATTTCTATTTTGACTTCAAAATTAATTACTAAAAAATAGTTTCTGTATTAATCAGATTATTACAATTGACTCATTCCAACGAAAATTGAATCACAGTTTCAAATTAAACTGCTGTTTACCAAAATATTTCAAGTTTTCTAGTTTATCATTATTTTTATGCTTCACTAAAAGTTATACAACCTAAAATGATTTGAACAAAAAGAGTTTACTTACAAGTACTAGGTCTTCCATTGATTTACAGTGAAAACGTCAAAAGAAAAAAAGTGGAAAAAAATAAACGTGGAAGAAAAAAACTGTCGAAAGGAAAAAGATCGAATGACGAAAAATGTCGAATCCATGAAAAATGTTGTTAGATGAAAAATATAAAATATATATTTTATTTCATTGAAAAAAAAAGGAACAATACGTTCATTGATAAGTACAAATAGCTATAAAAGATTGAATCATTCGATACGTCCATATGTACGCAATTAATATAAAGTTTACGTTGTTTTCGCGCTGAGCAATGATAAAGTTATTCAACAATTGCTCGATGTAGACGTCGTCGTTGTTGTTGTTGTGACGTTCCGCAACAATATCGATACGTTTTTTTTAAATATCATTAGTAAAACGTGAACTTGGGCGACGTTTAGCACCTGTGCTGAACCCATTGATCAGATGCATTGTTAGTGAAGAGAGTCGATTTCAACACTTATATGTACAAATCAGTGCAGGTGCTAAACGTCGACCAAGTTCATGTTTTACTAATGATATTTTAAAAAACGTATCGATACTCTTATGGCACGTCACAACAACAACGACGTCGACATCGAGCAATGGTTGAATAACTTATCATTGCTCAGCGCGAAAACAAAATAAACTTTATCTTCATCGCGTAGATCTGGATTTAGGTGTAACGACAAACTGGGATGGCAGCTTAACGCCACCTCGGTATAGATGTTTATTAGCTACATTATATCTCCAGAGTGTATCTACTTTACATTGAACACACGCTTATATAGGAGAGAGAATCGGCAGAGAGAGAAAGATAAGGAAGAGCGATAGCGCGAGACGAATACAGGAAACAATGAGAGAGATCAGGCAAAGAGGACAATCAGTGAAGGATGACGCCGATATCGGCACACTAGGGACGTGCAATTTCAGTTTACTGACAACTGAGATCGTCGAGATACTGAACGCTGAGTACTGGCTACACTCCACCGACAGCACTGGCGCACCTATTCATCAAGTATATGTAAATGCGCAACTGCAGTGGAACTGGAGCACATCGGTGATGCTCGACGTCAGTTGAGTCTCAGTTACAGTGTTTTCGGTGCAGTGTAGCTAGCACTCAGTGCTCAGTATCTCGGTAATCTCAGTTATCAGTAAACTGAAATTACACATCCCTAGCTGGGCCTATTGCATGATTCCTTTTTTTCTACAGCTATTGGTATTTATCAATGAACGTATTGTTCCTTGTTTCTTCAATGAAATAAAATATATATTTTATATTTTTCATCTAACAACATTTTTCATGGATTCGACATTTTTCATCATTCGATCTTGTTTCGTTCGACTTTTTTTCTTTCGACGTTTTCAATGCATACCCTTCCATTATTCAAGAAGAGAGATCAGTGATATGCAACTGTGGATGTCAAAGGAATGATTATCTTTACTATCTCTGCTTTGTTAATCAATATATTCATTTGACTACTTATGTTATAATATTAATTAACAAAATAATGTTGTCTCGTGATAGCGATTGTAAATAAAATTGCGAATACGTGCATCAAACATCGATAGACTGAATTGAATTGCTTGTATAATGTCGGTAGCTTCTGAAACATTCAGATCATTATTGTTATAGTAGTTTATTTTCCATTTGATAATACAATTGCATCATGATTATGTCAAGCCTATTTTTTGAATGTCTTTCTTCATTGAAAATTACGTTACTGATTGAATGAGCTTCTCATGATACTCATGTTACTATAGAATGGCCGCGCATCGCTCATCTGATGGTTTTATGAATCGTAGGGTATTATCAATGTAAAAGAAATGAACTAATACGTTCTTCATTTTCAATACTAGATGAACTAGGTTATTTCCTTGTTCGTTTCATATAATATTCTTAATCGTCGCGAAATCACTACATGATAACGTTGTATACTAATTTGATTCTAGTTCTGTCATAACTGTCTGTTGTATTCATTATCGATGCGTTTCAACCATGCTTTTATAAATATCAATGAATCACTGTTTAGATCTTGCTTCTGTAACTTATGTAAATGTCACGAATAAAAGTAATTAAGTTTGATTATAATTTTCAAACATCTATCTGACACATTTACATATGCACATATAGATATATGAAAAATATTCTATAGTTCCAACAATGGTATATTTTACTTGTGTTTTGATGCATTCGAGTGTCATTATACACACCCCTACACACTGTGTTTCAGACTCGATTCCTTCATTCGATTATGCTAGTATTTAGAAAACGAACTAATCATTAGGATTTTGCGATAAAGTTTGTTCTTCTCACGTTCTAAATAGAATAGACATACAGTTAACACTGATTAAATCAATCTTTAATTCTAGTTGGATTGAATATCGAAAAGTTCAAATTCAATGTTCAAATTGTTACACACAAGTAACCGAGTAAAAATCACAAGTATCGTTACAAATCAATACAGTTTTAGTTTGTATTTGCAACCATTCGTAATTCATACATGTAGGATTATCTTCGTTTTGAGGTATATTTTCCTCTTATTCAAACTACATGCATAAAATGTGCTCCATCTATATTTTAATAATCATGTAAATTCGGAATAGAATAAATTTCTACAATATTTCTGAAGTTCTAAATTATAAATAACATGAACTTTCTGTATATGACTAGTGCTAACTTTTTTTTAATCCCTATTGATTTTATTCATCTACTTTCATAATCGAATTCATGATCATTCATGAATTAACAATATTCCCGTATAGAGGTTTATCAACTTTATTAAAAAGTAACAAAGAACTGGAGTGATGTGGCATCGTATCATTATCGATTACTCTATCGGGTTGATTGTGATTAATTTTTATTTCCGGATTCATGTTGTTTGTTGAGTTGTCTTTTTGATAATATGAATATTTTGTTAGAGGTGCTGTTTTCTGTGTCACTTTGACAGAATCATTATATGATTTAGAATTCTTATAACGATCATTCAAATGACATGTAATATAGATTGTCCATAGACCCAGTAAAAGACAAAGACAACCACAAGTTAGCTCTGATATAAGTACAGGCATAAAAGATAATGCTGCCCGAATTATAATTTTTACACAACCACGTTGTTCATCTAGATCAGCATAGATCATTCGATATTTTTCTTTACGATTACATTCAGCTGCCTGAGAATATACTGTAGTCCATGTTAAATCTTGTGTTGTACAACAATCGTTACTATTTTCTACTTTAAGTAATTCATCGCGTGCTGATGTTTCTATGTTTTAATCAAATGAATTATTTATTAAATACTTTTTGTAGCCAATCAATTTTTACTTTTATACTTACTATTATGAATAATAAAATCAACAAGTAATCGTTCAATATCAATAGGAAAGTTATCAATTATATTTTGAACGAATCCAAGCATAATAACACTGAGAACAATTAGACCAATACCTAAAATAATGTTAGAAACAATAGAAGTGATCAACATTTCCATGCGTCCACCGGTGAGAATAGCAATAAAAGCAAGTATCGATGAAAGACATATAATTATACTCATTATAATAGCTATTGTGGGAAATGATTTATTGATTTTATTTGTTACATAGTCACGTTTTCGTTCACGATTTAATAAACTTGCATCACGCTGTAATCGATAAAGACTTAAAATGAAAGTAATTGCAGCAGTGGTAATTACTAAACAGGTAAGTGAATATAGAATGTAACTTCTAGATTTATGTCTTAAAAGTGGCATTTATAAATATACGATAAATTGATAACTAGAAGGAAAAACGCGCGCGCTACGATACATACTGATCAAGGAATATCAGAATTTTTGAAAAAACTTTATTAGTTATGTATTCTTGAATAATATGTCAAAAAATAATCTATTCTAATATATGTATATATACTTAGAGTAAATTTTGTTTTCCTTAGAATTAGAAATTAAGTACATTTAAAAAATTGTATGAATGTTTTTATTTTCTTGTAAATATAAAAAGTGATAGCTTTGCACTATTTGTCAATAGGTCATATGTTTCAATATTATTCATTAGGAATATTGATTTTTTTTTATATCAGATGGAATTCATTTATAGGTTTGTATTATAATTTTAAGCAATTTTCTTTTCTTTTGCTCTCTTCACATGAAAACTTAGCCGTCTTTTATTTAACTATTATAATAAAGGACGCATATTTTATAGACTATTCATTAGGGAATGAACAGAATAAAAAGGCTATTCATTTTCTTGTTTTCTTGAGTTGTACAATAAAATATTTTCCAATTATTATATTCCTACGTGTAATTATTGATAAACTTTAGCCTTTCGAAATTATTTGTTTACTAAAATAGACTGAATCATATTGTCGGTGTTTTGCTGATTAAAGTGTAACATTATCATTAACAATTTTGGGCTCGTATAAGTAACACTTGATTAAACAAAAGAATATGCATTTGCTTTTTCTTTATGATTTGGGAATATTTTTTTTCTCATTTTTTTCTTCTTCTTCTTCTTCTTCTTTTCCTATCGTCTTCCTCTTGTCGTCCTATTGATTGAAGTTTTGGTTATTACTTTAAAGAAGATCACTCTTATTCATAAGCGATAAAACTGTAGTAAAGAAAAAAAAGGACGCTAAAAACACTAGCAGACATGGAAAAAGAACGAGAAGGAAAAATGTAACAAGAAAAAAAGAACGAATAGTAAAATGTCAGAACCATCAGCGTCCTTATTGCATACATTTTCTTTTCTTAAATGATGATCGTGTTTCTCAGATTTTCCTTCATACTCGTTCGCTAGTCATGAACTCTCCGCATATGTGTAATCTAGTTCCTTTTCCTACATTTCTGTTCTCTTTTTTTTCTTCCTTTTTTTTTGCTTTCTATCCAAGTTAGACAAGAAAAAAAGAACGAACATTCTTCTAGTATTAACAATTATAGACTGTGTTTCTTTTTAGTGTCAGATCTAACTTATTACCTTATCCTGATATTAACAAAAACAAATAACTAATGGATATAAATACTGGAGGTATATTAAAAAAATAAAAAATAGATACCGTTTTTTTTTAAATAATTTGATTTTCACTTCTTACTCTTCTATTTTAGTTCAAATACCAATGACGCCAATTAATGAAAATGTTTGCTTTAGCGTTTGTACAAGCAAAGATGATTTTGATAAATTAAAACAAGGTTTAACACTACTTGAACAAGCTAAAGTTTATGATCATAATAGAGATTATTATACTGCTATACGCTATTACCGTGATGGAGTTGATTATCTAATGGATGAATTCATGTCTCGTGCAAGTGGTAATGAACAATCAAAAGAGTATCTTCGACTTAAATGCCATAAAATTTTAAATCGTGTTGATATTTTAAAAAAATTAATTAAACAACAAGAACATGAAACCATGCAAGAAGCCATAGACGATGATGAAAAACAAAAAGAGATCGAATCTTAATGTGTAATTGTCTGTTTTCGTAGAAATTAGCATAAACAAAAATAAAAACATATTATTCGTGTCTTGTGTCTCTGCTTATTTGTTTTGCTTAAAAATTTAAATTGTAGATGAAATACATGACCAAGTAAATATTAATCGAATGGAAACACCTAATATAGATGATTCATCCAATAAAATTCCAATAGCAATACCATATCAATCGACAGCTCTCAAACCACGACTATCAACAGCAGAAGCAAATGAATTTGTTGCACGAAATCAATTTCGTTTAGCATTAGTATTTAGTGGTATTTGGCTTTCATATTGTTGGTGGCTTTCAGAGAGATATCGTTTTGACTTTGGTCAATATACAACAATCATCCGTCTTCTATTTTGTATTGTACATGTTTTAACAGTATGGAAATTTTTTCAATATATTATCAAAATTGCTTTTCGTCTATATGGTTTAAGTAAACGAATACGAGCAGCTTTGCCACGACATTTAACCATGATTGTATTATCCCTTGTCTTATTTGCATTATTAACATTTGTTCTTAATTTTAAACAATTTTTAAGAGATGCTTTTGCGATAGTAGATTAATGTTTTTTTTAAATCGGTTTATTTATTTATTTATTTTTGCGTTTTAAGTATTTACATATGTAATTTTGTCATGCTACATAATTCTAGGATTAGTAACGACTGTTCGACAACGACAAGTTAAATGATACTTAATTGCATGAAGATATGCAATTCAATATAGAATAGGAAAAAAAATAAACAGAAGGAATCCATAACATTCCTGAGAACATGGGTTCTATTGAAATCGAATGCTCTATTTGGTTAAAAATAATCAAAGCAACAGCATCGAATATTTAGAGTTTTATACTTTTTTTTTCGAAAATTTGATTAGGTACTAACAAAAAGTGAAGCCAATCGTTTATTTTTCTTTTCCTTTGCAAGCATACTCCAGAAAGTATTTGATTTCAACAGTATACGCATGTTCATAAATTTTTGTACTTGAGTTCTGAATGCAAGCAAGTCATATACATGATGCATCGGTTTGCAGATCAAAGCAAAGATGATGCGCCAAATTCGTAGAACAATCTATTATCGGAGATGTACATTATCTTGCTACAATACATTTTCAAAAACCATTACAATGTCACATCATCATTAAACGTCAATTATTTTATGTACTGGCTTAAGTATACTCACTAGTCTTATGTCATTTAAAATAGTTTCCCTGTAAGAACAACATGTTCTTACATAATATCTCTATCAATAAAGCTTGGAACATGCCTCAATCAAATTGACTTTATCATTAAATGGTATTGTTCAAAAAACAAAGATGAATAGAGAAATTATGTTATCAGATTAAAGATTATGCGATGCGAGATAATAGGATGTGAGTGAAGAAATTCTAGGATTCAAAAAGAAAACTGGCTGTAGTTTTATTTATCTGAGAATTAGTATCTAGTCTGGATTATTTTGAATGTGTTCACTCTATATTCTTTTATAACTTAAATTTTCATGTCTGAAACTGTTCTGAAGTATCAAAAAACAAATAATATCATTGCTTTCACAAAGCGATCTATGGTTCCATAAATATTAATGTTCTAATTACATATTTCACTAGATTAATGCTATACGAAAAACGAACAGTACTAGTCTATAAGAATTTAATTCTGATCTAAAACCTAGTGATTATCTAAATTGAAATCAGACAAATTTGAGACTAAAACGTGTTTCCTATGGTCCTTTGAAAGTATATATCAAATCATTCATGTTATCTGACGACTTATAAAAAGAATTCCATGTATATTAGCAGTATATTGATGTTTATGCAACTATAGAGAGTGTTCAGACAACGGTGTTGCAATGTATTTTTTGATGCCTCAGAAGAGCCTCAGGCATAACTAGATGGTATTCAAGTTTTACTCGAATACGAAATGCGATGCGAAGCTCGAATCGGATCTTGACGGAAAATCTTCAATTCAGAGAAATCTTGAATACTATTTATGTCGACATGATGAAATTCATCACTGAGAAAACTCCATTCTTACTTAGCGATACATTCTTAAGGATCGATTTCCATTGATCGATTAATTATCTCCATGATTCTTTTGGAACCACATTTCTGAGTGAACGGAACTTCAGTTTAAAGATTCGAAACCAGATGGTCTCAGTTCGATCTTGATACTTGGATCTCACGTTTCAACGAGTTTTCTACGATTTATGGTTCTCGAGATCATCGCGACACAAAATGACGACTTGTGATGCGTACGTCAAGTGAGTAAAAATAAAAAAATAAAAAAAACTCGCGACGGACTACATAAATGCTTCTGCTTCGCATCGCATTAAAAAGTTGAGCTATGAAAGAATAAAAAATAAACATGTTCAAAATAATCTGTAGCAACAAATAATAGTTCTCAAACGAGCAAAATTACAGTCAGTTTTCTTTTTGTTGTATCCTAGAATTTCTTAACTCACGTCACATTATTTTGAATCGCAGAATATTTTATTCATTTATTTTTTCTTAGTTTCAGAGTGTAAAATAATTTATTTATCTTTTTTTTCCTTTATAATGCAAGAAATTAAAGATAAAATACAGATCATAGAATGAAAATCACTGTATGCCTACAGGAAAAGTAGCGTTTCTTTTTATCAATATTTAACTATTGGATCGGAAAAATGAACTTTCCCATAGAAAGAAATATCACAGTAAGAATCAACGTAAGTAAAGGTATCGATCAATTTATGTCTTAAAATGTGCTGAGAAGTTTCATTTTTCAAGAACTTTCTCCAAGGAAAACTCTAAGGGAAATCAAACTGCAATTATTAATAGAGGAAAGGAATATAGTTTAAAGTTTAAGGTTCATCAGAGCAGTTCAGAACAATTTTCAACAGTTTTACATTAATTATCTGTAATGTAACTGCGAAAAAATATTTTTTATAACTAAAGCTGCTAAATACTACTAAGTAAAGAATGTTACTTCCTCTATGCGAAGTCCACATAAGCCTGTAGTTCACACAAAATAGGCTTGATTGCATGACACAAGATTTTTCATTGCTAGTATTTTAATTCAGCTCATAAGATAGTTTAAGTTTCGTAACAATCGAGTAGTTTGATGATATTTACAGAAATATTTCAACAAAAACTTATTTTTCACGCTTCCCATAAAAATTTATTACACAAATTTGACGAAAATTTTTTATGACATTTTCAGTAATAAATATTTTATTTGAGTCATGCTCAGTTACGATTCGACGCATTAATTAATATGTTAGGACTGGCAATCAGCAACGTCCAGAGGTGTGCTGCATCTCCTAATTCTGGATTCTAACGAGTAATCATGTTGACAGAAGAATTCGAGGATGTAGAATGTAGATAGTCATATAAAAATACTAGCGTAGATAAAGTGATTTCCATCTTGGAACACATGATTGAAAATATTCGTAGATGGCCTTTAGGAAAATGCCTAACGTAGCGTTGATATCGTTTGTAGCCGCAAACCGTTGATCAAACGATCGAACTGAATGGCATTTTATCATATTCGGATATAATCTTCTCTATTCATTAGTTATTTAAGGAGTTTTGTAACGTAAAAATGGTATATATGTAGTCGATAATCAATAGAGAAGTCAGAATGAATTTCTATGCTACAGAAGTTTATATACAATTAACAAAATAAACTGTTTTTAACAATCCGTTACTTTTATGAATAATACGACAGTCTCTATGATTGGTGACACTTTGAAACAGTAAGTAAACAATTTTTATGTTGTGTATTATCTCAAAAGAGATCTCATGATTCTCATAAATTATCTGTTTGAATCAATAACTGTCTACCTTTATCACATTCACTACAGTGAACTCAGAACTCAATAATTTCTAGCCGAGTTGTATGATCAAAAATAAGAATGCCTAACATTTACCACTTACTGTCACTCTTACAATCATTTCACGAGCCATGTCAACACATATTTATGTGAGTAATTAAAGAGTTGAGATCATTTTTGATTTTTCCACGGGAAATTCCTGGTGTCAGATATACTATATATATGGCATAATCCGATACAAAAATAATATTTCTGGCGTTATAGCCATGCATTTCATTCTATTATCGAACATTTTCAAGTATTCTACCACCTCAGATTGAATGATGGCAACATAGATAGATGCTATTTACAATAATTTAGCATCTAGATAGCAATAAGAATGGATACTTATCCTACTTTACAAGTTTTGATTACAAATTTGTTGAATTCTCATAGATCTTATGTTTCATTTTTACTTCATATTTGGTAATCTATTGCAGTTCTGTATTCTTTAAATCCGATAAATTCAAGATTAATGCTTTCTTGAATAATTTTGAAATATACTTTTCATTGATGTTGTGGAAATTTTAGGGAATAGAAATGTTGCATCGATGAAATACCGACTGAAATAATCGAAAAACTTTGTTAACATCTACAAAAGTTCATGTATTTTTCAAATAGAATGAGTTTTACAAACAATTAAATTCAGTATCATTTATTCAAATTTCTTAAGCAACCAAACTAGTTTCAATAGGTACGCTTGGCAAGATTTTGAGCTTATTATTACAAAGGTAATTCTGATTCTATGACGTATTCGACGGCTGACATCTTTAAATTTGGAGAATAATATGTGCCACTTTTGAGCATGAAAAATGTTTGTAGAATTCTTTCAAAGGCATTCTACGACTAAACAAAATTTTCCTTGAGACACAGTCAATAGCTTTGAGTTCTGCATAAATCCATGACTACTGACAGAAACTCGAGTTATGTATAGCGAACGATTGAATGAGGCGATACTTATGCATATTTCTTATCTGAGAAAAATCTATTTTACTTCCATTTTATTTTGATATCCTAGAAATTCATCTTAATACTATTGCTTAACTAACTCTCTTAGTTGTGTTCTTCTTTGATTTCATAGTTAGTATTATTAAATAGTTCGTGTTATGTAGCTAAGCATGATATAGGTGTGTTATAACTA